CTGAGTGCAATATTTGACTTAGCCACAAGGTGGAGGGCTACTTGAGCTGTTGCAGAGTACTCAGAGCCTGAGTGCTAGCAGCCTAAACAAGCCCTAAACAGGACTTTGCCTGCCCAAGATGTGTTCTTAGTGTGGACATTTTCCCTGGGCCCCCAGGTCCCAATATAGTCTAGGAAAAGAAATATTGGAAATATTAAAATATAAAAGTTTGCTGCAATTACATTTTTTTTTCATTTTCTTTTAGTGGCAATTCACCACCACACATCTTGTCTGACAGCAATCATAGATTTAGATGTTTTAGACTCAGAATTAAGTGCTTATATATTTTATTATATATACAGAATTATATATATATATATGCGCATATATATATACATATATATATATATGCGCATATATATATATATATACATATATATATATATATATATATATGTAGAATAGGTATATATGTGTAATAAAATAAAAAGGAAAAACAGACAATTACACTCCCCCACCAGAGTCAAGATGGTCATTGCAAACCATCTCTTTGTCTTTCATACCCTCCTTATCTCTCTTGGATTTTCTGTGTATGTTGGGAAATTCCTAAGCACTCATACAGGGACCTTCACTTTTCCTTATCAGGCTCATAAATAAAAAAAGGGGAGAAGATGAGACTATCCTGTGATACACCAGTCTGTTCCAGAATGAGGTTCACAGTAGTGGCCTGTCCTCAGCTGATACTGGATAATGCTAGTTTTGATGTGGTGTTTGCTCCTTTTGTCTGCATCGATCCAGGCTGCTCATCTCTCCACATCCACTCCACTCCCACACCATGTACTCAACTCATGACCTGAAGTCTGAATGGGAAAAAGAGACGTCACAAACACAGACAACATCCTTTTTCATACTGTCAGTGACTGGGACTCAGGCCATGTTATTTTTTTGCAAAGGGATCATTGTGACCCTGGAGTGGCTTTTCTTTGTAGAATCTCAGAATTTACTCTCTTGCTCTCTGAAAATCATCTAGTTCTTAATATGCCCTGACCCATTCCTCACTGATTCTCCTGTTGCGCACTGTGTGCACTGGGCCTCCCATATGGCTTAGGTCTTTCTTCCTGAGTGGGAGGGCAACACTTTTGGGAGTAACAACAATGAGAATGCTGGAAAGAAACCCAGGTATTTTCACCCAGCAAACTTTTATATTTTAATATTTTCAACATTTCTTTTCCTAGACTACATTGGGACTTTGGGGCTAAGGGAAAATTAGTCACCTTGTTAAGCTCTGAATGAGATACTATACGGAAATGCAGCCCTTTGCAAACTTTTAAAACTATCATTTGGCTGTTATTATTAGGCTTATTCTGACCCCAATTACTGCTTTTTACTGACTGAAATGTTCTTCTCCCTTTCTTCCCCCTAAAGTAGGAGTACTTAGTGTTTTTTTTTGTATCATGAACCCCTTCAGCACTGTGGTGACATCTATGGACCCCTTCTCAAGATAATGTTTGTAAATGCATAAAATGAAATACTTGTGATTACAAAGAAACCAATTATCTTGAAAGAAGGATGCAGTTTTTTTTTACCATGCATGTTCATGGACCCCCTCAAATCTATCCATGGATACCCTGTTTCAGAACCCCTAACCTCTTAGAAAATCTGGACAGTATACTGGAAAGCGGAGATGTCACCATGCCAACAAAAGTCTGTGTAGTCAAAGCTATGGTTTTTTCAGTAGTAACATATGACTGTGAGAGTTGGAAAGCTGAGAACTGCAGAATCAACACTTTTGAATTGTGGTGCCAGAGAAGACTTTTGAGGGTCCCTTGGACAGCAAGGAGGTCAAATCAGTCAATACTTAAAAAAATTAACTCTGACTATTCATTGGAAGGACAAATCCTAAAGCTGAAGCTTAAGTACTTTGGCCACATAATAAGATGACAGGACTCATTGGGAAAAGCTCCAGTGCTAGGGAGGATTAAAGGCAAAAGGAGAAGAGGATGGCAGAGGATGAGGATAGTGTCATGGAAGCAAATGAGCTTGGACAGACTATGGGAGATAGTGGATGACAGAAGTGGCTGGCATGCAGTGGTCCATGGGGTCATGAAGATTTGGACATGGCTAAACAAATGAACAATAACAGCACTCCTGGCAGTATGGTTCAGTGGAAATGTGCTGGCTTTGGTATACAGAGGACCTGGGTTCAAATTGTGACTCTTCTACTTACTGTGTGACTTTGAGCTAGCCTATTAACCTCCCCAGATCTCAGTCTCCTCCTTGGAAAAATGAAGGAGGAGCTGGGCTAGATGATTTCCAAGGTCCCTTCCAGCTCTAAAGCTGCGATTTGGTATGATCTTCTAAGGCATAATTCATAGGCTCACTTGGTTCCAGAGCTGGAAGGGACGTTAGAGATCACCTAGTCACCTTACCTCCTCATTTTAGAGATGAAGAAGTGAAGATGAAGATGACTTGCCCAAGGTCACACAAGAGGTAAGTACCAGAAGCACGTTGCTTTCTCGCTGAGGCTTTTTTCTGACTGCTTTGTCCTTTGTGGATCTCTCACTTCTCCTTGCAGTTATTATGCCTATAGTCAGTGAATCACTGTGTAACACTTAAATGCTTTGCAAGTATTTCATCACTGTTATTTTTCTTTCCTAAACAAGATTAAGATCCCTAGGAGCATGTATTGTGTCCTAGTGCTTTGGCTTTCTCTTCAATACTGGGAACACAGCAGTAGCTAGATGGCCTAGTGTAGTGGTTCTCAAATTTTTTGGTTTCAGGACCATGTTACACTCTTAAAAATTATTTAGAATAGACCTCAAATATCTTTTGTTTGTATGGCTTATGGGGCAGGTAGGTAGTGTGGTAGATAGAGTATCAGGCCTGGAGTCAGGAAGTCTCGTCTTCCCAAGTTCAAATCTGGCCTCAGACAATTACTATCTGTGTGACCTTGGGCAAGTCACTTAATCCCATTCACCTCAGTTTCCTCATCTGTCAAATGAGCTGGAAACCACTTTAGTATCTTTGCCAAGAAAACTCCAATTGGGGTCACAAAAAGTCGAGTATGACTGAACGATAACATATGACACATACCTATCAATATTTATCATATTAGAAATTGAAAGAAAAAATGTAAAATATTTATTTGCTCATCAGTTTAAGATAACTAATAATATTATAATACATGCAATAATAATTACATATTGACAGAAACAATTATGAAAATTAATTTTGTTGTTTAGTTGTTTTCAATCATGTCTGATTCTTTATGACCCCATATAGGGTTTTCTTGGTAAAGATACTGGAGTAGTTTGCCATTTCTTTCTTCAGCTCATTTGACAGATGAGGAAACTGAGGCAAACAGGGTTAAGTGACTTGCCCAGAGTCCCACAGCTAGTAAGTATCTGAGGCCGGATTTGAACTCTGGTCTTCCTCACTCCAAGCCTGGTATTCTATTTAGTGCACTTACCTGTCCTATGAAAATTAACTGTATTTTCTCAAACGAGAAAAATTAGAAGAATGGCATCATTTTACATATTTTTTGAAAATCTCTTAAATATCTCATTTAGTAAAAGTTAGCTGGGTTCTCCTATCTGCCTCTGCCTTCAATCTGATGTGATATGTTTTTGTGATCAAAGCATGTGAAAGAAATCCTTATTTGCACAGAAATGTCATTGGAAGAGATAGGAGTATTTTAAAAGCTTTTTCAGATAATTGTGGGCATTCTTCTTTGGTGGCTACTCTAAAACTTGACAAATGGTAGTTTCTTAAAGGACAGTTGCAATGTGGAATCTGAAATGTTATCAATGATTGAATGAAAGTGAGAAAGACAAATAATGTCTTAGTACTATTGTGAAAATAGTTTTGACTTTGTGGAACCCCTGAAAGGGTTTTGGGGCCCCCCAAAATCCATGTACCACACTTTGAGAACTGCTGTGGACAAAGCATTAGATTTTTGGTAAAATGTAAACCCTTGGAGGATAGAAACTCTTAAAAAATTTTTGTCTTTGTATCTTCTGCACCCAGGATAGTGCCTTACACTTAATATGATCATAAGACAATTGAACCACAGATTTAGAGCTGGAAGACACCTTAGAGACCTTCTCACACAACCTTAGTTTACTGGTGAAGAAACTGAGGCTCCTTAATATTAAGTGACTTAACCAAGTCACCCAGATAATCGGTGAGAGAGTCAGGAATCAAACTTGGGTCCTTTGATGCCAAATCCAGAGCCCTGTGTGTTCAACAAATGCTTGTTTTAATCTTGAAAGATTTAAGAACTCCTAATAATGCAATGATTGGCCAGTGTTCCCAAGGACTGATGATGAAGCATACTGCTTACCTCCTGACAGAGAGGTGATAAGCTAAATATGCAGGATGATATACATTTTTTTCTTTATGTGGCCAGTGTAGGAATTTGTTTTGCTTGACTATGCGTATTTGTTACAAGAATTTTGTTTTTTTTCTTCTATGGGAGATGGGGGTTAAATGTCTGTTAATTGAAAGCAAATTAATAAAAAAGACAAAAAACATGCCCAAATTGAATTGAATTGAAAATGAGTGATCAAAATTTCTGTCTCTTTTTGGTAGACCTTTTAGGATGGGTCCTTAGCATATTGGCAGTGAAAGCCTTTTAAGCCCTTAATTTATGTGAAAAATTAAAAAAAAAACCTACTGACATTGAAGAGGAGGATACATCCAGATTTTTCATAATCAAAAAAAAGTTTTTTGGGAGCATTTTTTTGGGACAAATTCATATGCAACAGTAAGTTTGAGTGTTTGAAATACCACAAAATACTAAAACCCAATCTGTTTGATTTGCAACAGGAGGAAAGTTTATTGACTGACAGCATGGCTGAGAAGTGAAACACATTTTGCAAGTTTGCATTTGGCAAGAGAAAGCCAAAAGGAAGCAGAAAGGGCCTGAAAGAGCTGATTTCTCTTAGGCTGCTCAGACTGTTTTGTTCTCCAGGAGGACAAGTCATTTCATTCTCTGCGACAAAGGCCATCTGAGCATCTGCTTATTTGATTTTCATTCCAGAAATATAATTAGCTTGAGATGACACCCCTTGGCTATTAGTGGAGTCTTCTTTCATCATCCTGGTCACTCTGATTTTGTTTGATTCTAAAAAAAAGAAGCAAGAACTGGAATAGATGAAGGTTAAAAGACATATGTTTCCTAATTATGTTTTAAATAGGCTTTGGTTAGAATAGATGAATGTTTTACTCATGATTGATTCACAGAAAGGAAACTGGGGGAAAAAGACACTTTACCTCCCTTCCACTGGTCTGTGCCTGAGTCAACAGATGGTAGACCTCTTGATCCTTCTCCCTTGCCTCTAGAACTACTGGAAAAGAACCAATTAGAGAATGTATTATCACCAGTTATTTAATTAAATAACAGCAAGAATTCAGTGCCTATTTTAGGGAGGGCAATCTCAGGAATCCCTGTCCTTGAAGAGCTTACATTTTTATGGGGGAGAGATATCATTTCCAGTGATGAGTATGTGCAAGATAATTCGAGTTGAGAGAAAACACTGAAAAAGTAATGGTGATCTGAAAAGATTTCATATAGAAGGTGGCACCTGCATTGAATCTTGAAGATGAGGATTATAAGAGGTGGAGGTGAGAGGGGGTGTATTCCAGGCATGTGGTTGTAGCTTGTTTTCTGCTTGTCAAAGAAATGGGATGAAGCTGATATGATTTCCTTTCAAACATAGTGCTTAGCACATAGTAGATGCTTAAAAATGCTTGTTGATTGATTAGTTTTTTAAATTAGACTGAGTGTATTCCTTCCAGGGGATGCTTTATTTCAACCTGCTAGATATTTAATTTAAGGGGGCAGAAAAATCATGAAATTGGGTGATGGTTATATCGAACTTCACTCGTAACTCACCTCCCTTCTCCATCAAGCAGACTGCGGTAAGTCTCAATCTCCATCTCCAGGCGGGTCTTGATGTTCAACAGCTGTTCATATTCTGCGTTCTGACAATCCACCTCTCCTCTGATCTGGCAAATTTGTTCCTCCAGGCTGCTGATCTGAAGTTGCATTTGGGAGAGCCGGGCCACATAGCTTGCTTCGGTGTCAGCGAGGGTGCCTTCCAGGGTGTCTTGCTACAAATAGGTGCAAGTACACACACAAAATATTAAAATGAAATCATTTAAAATATAGGAAAAATATTAATAATTAAAAATAAGTTAATTAATCAATTAAAAAATTGAACATATATATGCCTCAGTGGTGAAAAGTGTCTTCTTGGTCCCTCAATACACTGAAGGTAAAGTATCCAATATAAGGCAAGCTATCTATAAGGATCTATGATTTCAATAGAGATTTAGAACTGAAAAAGAACCTTAGAGACTTTTCCCAGTTTCTGGGGAAACTGAGGCCCAGCAAGATCAAGTGATTTGGCCAATGCCAGATAGGTATTAAAGGACAGCTCTAGGTTTCTAACACAGGTCTGCTGATTCCAAAACTGGTGTTATTTTAGGCAGTACTTAAACCCAGTTCTTCTAGATTCCAAGTCTAGAACTCTGACCACTAAATCATATTGCCTTTATAATGTGCTATGGAAGCCAGGTGATATAAGCTTTGGCCCTCAAGTACCCTCCTCTCCATCTCCTAGCACTGGTGTGAATTTTGCTCACATTTAAGGCAAACCTCACATGTCTGGTATGGAAAGCATTATGTAAACCTTAAAACTGTATGTGTATATATGTATACATATGTACACATATATGTTTTTTTAACTAGACCTGTGATTTTATTGGCAAAGGTAACTCTCAGTAAAGAAGCTCCCTTTACTAACACTGATCAATACCTACTCATACAATGGGAATAACAAGAGAAGCCCTTTGGCTGCTGGATTGGGGACTGTGGTGGCCACCTCATAGAGCATGTCTGTGGATGGACTTTTACTCTGGATCCTTTATAAGTATATGTGCAGCCAGAGGCTGCTGGTTCATTCCTATGGTCTTTTTCACAAGTGTCTGTGTCAAAGATGATAAACAACTTAGCAGTAGGATTAAAAGAAGAGACAGCTTCCACTGTCATTTTAACTTCCTGTCTTTCAAATGTATGGCTGAAGACTCTGATAGCTTTCCTTTGGAATTCCAGTGGAGAGGGTGGGTTTCATTCTCTCTCCCTTTCCAGAATCATCTACAATGTCTACATGCATATGGTAACAAGAAAATATCTTGGTACTTAGGCAGCCTAGGGGAGCCTAAGATTGAATCTCAATTTCCTAGCTCCATCTTCTGCTTCCTGAGGATAGGTGACTGAATAGCAGTCCTGGGATGGATATTTCTAGCCTGGGTGGATACCTAATGACCTTGAGAGGTCCACAGTCATTGAGAAGTTTGGGTCTTGGTGGCCAGAGGTAGGTGCTTTCTGCAACCGCACCTTTCTAAAGAGGCGAAGATGACCACTATTGGGAGGATGAGCCTGTCTGTCTCTGTCTGTTTCTCTTTCTTTCTCTTCCAACCTCCCACTCTCTGTCTTTCTCTGCTTCTCTTTCTCTCTCTGAGTTTCTCTCTCTCTCTGTCTCTCTCTGTCGCTCTGTCTCTTCTCCCTTCGCCTTCTCTGTCTTTGTATCTCTCTATTTCTCTGTGTCTCTGTTTCTCTCCCTCCATGGTCTCTCTGTCTTTCTGTCCCTCAGGCTCTGTCTCCCCCTCTGTCTCTTTCTGTCTCTGTTTCTGTCTCTCCTCTCTCTTCCTTCTCTTTCTTTCTCTATCTCTATCTTTCTGTTTGTCTCTGCCTTTCTGTCTCTTAGTCTCTCTCACACCTTGGATTTTCCTGTGGCATTAGCTATCTAGCTATAGATTACTCTTGGTTTTTGCCCTCTTACCTGAAGACTAACAGAAATATATGCAAATCAATTTCAAGAAATTTAAAATCAGGCCTGGCATTCACCTACCATGGTCATTAGGGACTGAAGCTCAATCTCCAGGCCCTGAAGAGTCCTCTTCAGCTCCAGCATCTCACTCTTGGCTGAATCAGCTGCTCCTGCATCAGTGGAGATCTGTGCTTGCAAGGTTGCACTCTACAGGCACATGGGAGGCAAGAGAGAATGGAATAAAGAATGTGTGAATTGCTCATCTCCAGGCATTGCTCTCTGATTGCTTAGTTGCTGCTGACTTACCTGCTTGTGGAACTGCTCTTCTGCCTCCCTCCCTACGGTTTTGCTCAGCCAGCTCCTCATACTGGGTCCTCATGTTGTTCAGCAGTTTTGTCAGATCTGTTCCTGGAGCAGCATTCATCTCCACATTGACATCCCCATGATTCATTCCCTGTGTACTCTTCATTTCCTAGCAAGGAAAAAAGCAAAGGCCACTGTAATAGTGATGTTGGGTTAGAGAAGAAGTCTGTGTCAGCTACCAGACATATTAGGGAGGAGAGAGAGTGACATGGAGGCCCATAGATGATAGCAAGGAGGATCTGGACAGACTGGAGTAAAGTTTGAAGGAAGGCAAAGCAGGGTGGTGGCTGAGGGAAGGCTATGGTTAAGTTTACTCTGGTGGTGATGGGCAGAAGTTGGCAACAAAAGCACACCTAGCAGCAGGCTATCTTCATTGCCAATGTCCCCAGATGATCCCAGGGGTCCCATGTGGTTTGACTTCCCTAGGCCAGGAGGCTCATGGTGGGAGTGAGGGAAGCAGTCTGTTTAGACTAGTGGGAAGGTGCCCTTGGCAGAATGAGATCTTTGGCTGCAGTGACCTGATGACTGAGGAAGGGAGAAACTGTGGGGTTGGGCGATGGACAAAGCCCCCTAGGATTCCAGTGGCTGTCTCATGTTATTTCCAACTTTCTCCCTACCTCTTCATGATTCTTCTTGAGATAAACCAGCTCCTCATTCAAGCTTTCATATTGCATTTTCAGGTCTGATGTGGTCATGTTCAATTCATCAAGTACTTTGTGAAGGCCATTTATGTCTGCTTCCACAGACTGCCGTAGACAAAGCTCATTCTCATACCTTAAAAAATGGGCAGAATGTGATTTTTCAATTAGTTGAATTATTTTGAATGCTTTCAATTTCATCTACAAAGTATTCATAGGATTATAGCTCTAGAGCTGGAAGGGACCTCAAGGGAAATCTAATCCAACCCTCTAATTTTTCAGATGGGGAAAGTAAGGCCAAGGGAAGTTAAATGGTTTGTCCAAGGTCACATAGTTAGTTAACAGCTTCAGAAGGAGGATTTAAATATGGTTCTTCTGACTCTTTCCATGCTACCTTATCAACCTCATAGTTTACTGAGCTATTCCAGACGAGTATAAAACTCATCACTTTCTTATTTCCCATCTTTTGCACTGATGTATCATCATCATCAGATGCCAAGTGATTAAGCCACAAGATTATATATAAGGTTTAAAAAGACTATATGATTTTAGAATTTCTTTAACAGAATATACATTTCAATTCTTTAGCAATTTCTTCTGATATAGGATTGCCTATGTTTATGTGACCAATTAATTAGATGCTATTGGTTTTTTTAGAGTTAGAAAACACATTTAAAGTCATCTAGACTTCTCCCTCTTACTTTGAAGATAAGGAAACTGATGCCAAGCCTATGTTCTTTTTGCTACATCACTCTTTCCCTGACTTTTCTTCACTAGAATTCTCTAGTCCTTGGGGTATGAAAAATAATGAAGATTTTATTAGTTTTTTAAGCTGCTATTAGAAATAATAGTTGAAAATAAACTCACTTCATTCTAAAGTCTTCAGCAGCCAACCTAGCATTGTCAATAGGTGTGATGATCTTGGCATTGTCAACGGTGGCCGCAATGATCTAGAAAATTTTCAAAAATGGTGCAAAAATAAAGCTATGTATTTCTGAATACCACATAGATTTCTGGTGTTAGTTTATTAAGGTAGCCTTAGGTAAGAAATACTTTCCAGAAATGTAAAAAAAACTTTTCTAAATCAATATCTGTAATTTTGATATTTTAGATAGTGAAACTGAAATTTACATAGTACGTCAAATGATGCAAAGCAATGAACACATATCATCTCTTTTGAGCCTTATGACAACCTTATGAAACAGGTCCTACAGGGATCTTTATCATATTATCCCCATTTTGAAGGTGAGAAATCTGAGGTTCAGAGATTACATGATTTGCCCAAGGTCACATAATCACTAAGTGTTAGAGGCAAAAGATTATGTGTCTCCTGATTCCAGGTTCAGGAAGATGAATGTAGGAATATAGTACAAATAACAATTTTCACATGTATAACATTTTCATGTAACATTATATATTATTATATATCATTAATTTCATTATTGTGCTACAATATGTAACTAATATATAACAATTTTAACATGTATAACATATTTTCATATAACATTATATATTATGATATATTATGATATATCATTAATGTCATTAAGTTGCATTATATATAACTAATATATAATAATTTTCACCTGATGAAAGTTTGAACATTTTAATTTTGTAGGAAACTTTTTTTGGGGTCCAGATCTATGTTATTACTGCTGTGGGGGAACTGCTTCTACAGAAATTTTCTCTACCTAAGCAAGTTAGTGACCCATCTTTAACAAGGTTTAAGATCGTTGCATGGGATCCTGAAGGGTTAAGCAAAGCAACCAGTATCACATAGCCAGATGGAGCACTGGGCCTGGAGTTAAGAAAACCTGAATTCAAATGTTACCTCAGACACTTACCAGCTATGTGACTCTAGGTGAGTAACTTAACCTCTATTTGCCTTAGTTTTCTCAACTGTAAAATGGGGATAATAATAGCATCTATCTCTCAGGGTTATTATGAGAATAAACTAAGATATTTACAAAGGGCTTGAAACCTTAGAGTCCTATAAAAATGCTCATTCTTATTATTTGTTAGAGACAGGACTTGAAATCAGATCTTACTGACTTCAAAGCTGGTCTTCTATGTTTTATGTCATGTTGCTCCTTGTATTATTATTTAGCAAGCATTAATTAATATATTACTTTTATAATTTTTATGACATAGAAAAAAAGGAAAAGATATTGAGATTATATCACTTTACCTGGTTTCTTAGATCTTCGATTATGAGGTAATACTTGTCATAGTCTTTCTTAGATTCAGCATCTTTAGCCTCAGATTTATCATACCATTCCTTGATTTTGGTCTCCAGATCAGTGTTGGCCTCTTCCAGAGCATGGACCTTGTCCAGGTAGCTAGCCAGGCGGTCATTGAGGCTCTGCATGGTTTGCTTCTCACTTCCAGAGAAAAGGCCCCCATCACTGGCACCCAAACTACCAGTTCCACTGCTGCTCACGGCACCAGCACAATAACTATAAAAGCCTCCACCAAAGCTAGTACTGGAGGCTGAGCCACTTCCATGGCCTCCCATTCGGGAGCTGCTACTGTACCCACCTCCAAAGCCCCGTCCTAACCCACTGCCAAAACCTCCACTCAGTCCACAGCTGCTGGAGCCTCTGAAGCCCCGAGCAGAGCCACTCCCCAGGTAACATCTGCTGCTACTGCTGAAGCTGCTGCCACTGCTGCATACTTTGCCACAACCACTACCTCCAGCCTGGGAAGAAGCTTTCAAGAGGCAAGACATAATGCACTCTAGTCAACCTTGCCCCAGTAGTGAGGAATGGAAGTGAAGACTGCCCTGATCAGGCCATCCTTATATACAGAGATTTAGGGTGTTTCTTTGCTTCTTTCAATTCCATCCCTGTCCTTTTACCTCTTAATACCCAGAGGATGAACTTCTCATAATGAACCTCACCCTGCTGGGTCAATTGATATTGAAAAAAATTAGCAAGGGTGGGGGAAAATGAGCATCGTTATCACATTTCAGGTTGAAAGCATTCCCTAATCTGTTATTTTTCCACATTTCCCCCTTTACTTCTGTTTATCTGAACTGCGTTGTCATACATTTTCTAGTTTTAGGAACTATTCAGGTGGGCTTTAGAGCCCTTAAGCCTCCCATTTCTCCTGTGCCATTCAGGCAAAACAATTATACACAGTGTCAGAATTAGTCAGAATCCAATTTACTGCACTTAGTAGTGATTCCTCAGGCAGATTCTCTTTTTTTAATCCAGTGATAATTAGGAGTAGCATCATATGCCTACTGTCTTTTCATTTGGGGGGACAAATAGAGCATTGCAGCTATCCTTGAAAAAGGAACTGTAAGCCTGACTTTGCAAATCTACAGACTAGCTTTAAAACCAAGGATTGTTAGGTCACGTGAGGTCATTTATGGAAGATGTTCTATGCCAGTCGATGGTCTTAATCGTTCTACTGAGATGTAGAGAGTGGGTTGAGAGAAATGGATCCTTTCAGAACCTTGATCTCTGTATCTTGCTTCTTTGATCGTTTTTACTCATCTCCCAAAGAGTTTTTAAAGAACATTTCATCTACTTTGGTTCACCTACAAGCATTTTTTCTTCTTCTTCCCATTGTCTCCTTTTTATGGAATTGCAATTGCCAGTTTTTATTCAAAGGGGTTCTTGCCCTGCTTTTACACCTTTGTCTTGTCATTTCAACATTATTCAATAGCAACAATGAGTTTTTGTGAACACTTAAGAAGGGTCTGCTATGTGTACAATGTTATAGTAAACTAGGGGAAGATGGAAAATAATCAAGACAATCCCTTCTCTCAAAAGAACTGCTAAGCAAGAGTGTGTGTGTGTGTGTGTGTGTGTGTGTGTGTGAGCAACACATCAATATTAGAAGAAAAAACATATTGAGTGCCTAATAGATGTGAAAAAAGTATTATGCATAGTCTGAATAAGGAGAGCTAATTTCTAATTTTGATGATAAATTGGTTATTGCTAACTAAATACCTGGGTTTTTAGATTAATTTTGAAAATAATGCTATTCTGGAAAGAGTGCCAGACTTGCAATCAGAGTACCTGGGTTCAAATCTCAGCCCTGTCACTTTCTACCTGTGTGACTTTGGGCCAGTCACTTCAACTCTCTGGGACTTATTTTCCTCATCTGTTTAATGAAGGAATTGCACTGTATCATCTTGAAGGTTATTTTCAGATCTATACATAGTATAGGTATTTTATTTTTTTTGAGGCAATTGGTGGAATCTTTTGATTTGTACTTTGTTTTCTTTATTCAAAAGTTCTGGACAGTTTTTTGGAGGACTATCTTTTCTGTATTCTGGTGTTCAAGTTTTTTGATTTGTAGTGTCCTTCTCAGAAACCCATGATATTTGTTGTCTCTGAATATCCTCTCTTCAAGGGCTGTGACTTTGGCTTGTATGGCTATTAATGTCATTTAAAGTTTTTTTTTTCCTCTTTTGCCAGATTTTCCTTCAATTCCATATTTTTATGTTCCAAGTCTGTTGTTCTCTTTCACTTTTTTTGTGATAAACTCACTACTATGGAATCAATTTTGTCTAACTATTTTTCTTTTGAAAACTATGTATTCTGATCTTTGTTCTATTCCAATAACTTATATAGATTTATTGTCTTTTGAACCATTCAGAATTTCTTGTTGTTTTTCCATACCCTCTTAGGAGTCCATAGGAGTCTGTTTCATCAGGCACTGGTTCACTTTCCTTTGTCTGTAAAGTTTTAAAAAAATTTTTAATTTTATTTATTTATTTGTTTGCTTGTTTATTTATTTATTTTTGTCTTGTAAAGTTTAAGAGAGCTTTATATTCTTTTTGAGGATTTAGTGCTCATCCTTCCAGTTATAGGATCATCTTTGTCAATTTATCTGTTTGTGCTTTAGGTTTTAAATTGGATTTTCTTGTTTTTGAAATCTTTCATGTTTTAACCTCTTTTGCTCTCTATCACTTAGTTTGTGACTCCTCTCCCTTTGAGCAGGGGACACTGGACTGCAAGTTGTCTTAGCTGCCTTCTACATTGGGGGAATTTATGTTTTACCAGCATTGGTGTCTGCCCTAACTAGCTTCTGGAAGGATAGAACTGGCCACATCTGGACTTCACTCCCTTTTCCTTCAGACTAGGTATAGCCATGTATATTGGCCCCTGGGTGTCCTAGTTTCTTCCTTGGCTCCTATTGCTTTCCTTTCCTGGCTGGGTTGAATAAATGTTTGCCATTTTTTAAAAGTCTTGGTGGAGGTCAGAGAGGGTGTTCTGAATCCAGTCCCTGTAGATGTAGGGATCCTAACCTATGGGCTACTCTAGGCACAGGGCATTCCAATTCTCCTCCTCTCCTACTCCTGTGGTTTGGCAGAATTAGTGTTTACCTTGTGGGAAGGAATGGTTAATGGGTGGGATATTCTAGAAATCTCTTCATCAGGAGTCTGGGTATTAGGCAATAGCCCATGAGTTAGTTTTTAGTTTTTGTATCCCCAGCACTAGTGTGAAGGCTGGGGGTGGGGGTGGGGGTGGGGACTGAATAAACTCTCCAAAGATTAGCAGTGTTCAGTGTTAATTATAAAGCTTTTAACTTAACAGGGTTGTTGCTATCTTGTTCTGTCCATTCAGCTGTAATTGTTCCACTGCTGGTGCATAATTCCTGTTCTGGCAATTTCTGGAATATTAATGGGGATCAGAAAAATATCTATTCTGCTGTCTTGTTGGTCATGTGAGCAGCTCTACATCTATAGTCCTAACATAAACCTAGGCATTGCCATTTCACCAAGGTCTCATTGAAAATTAGGTGTAGAAGTATATTGGAAGTGACTGGTCCTGAACTCCCCTTTCAAATTTCTGGGTTTTGGGGGGTTTTTTTTTTGTTATAATTAGTGAAAACACTAGATAAGTGGACCATTAATCTCAGAGACAAGAAGGAAACAGTAAGTTTTCCAGTCAGTGCCATTTTGGTCTGCTCCCTTCCACTCCTGACTGTACTCTCAGAAATGCACTTTTGGCTCCACCACAGACCCTTCTGAGAAATAAGACTAGGTCAGTAAAACACAACTTTTATCAGAGTGCATGAATTACTTCAGTCATGCCCAGCTTTAAGTGGGGCAGTGGGGAAGAGTGGACAGGAAAGGGCTGTCATTTCCTTTCATTCCCCACTACACATCTGCTTTTCTCACTATGATCTCCGGGAGGGGACACTTCATCTTAGTCATGGTTTCCCTTCAGTCACAAAACTGTCCTTAGCTTCTTTTATTTGCATCACTGTTTCTGCTGGTGTGCCAGGTCTCTGAGGGAAGGCTTCCTCTAACCTCCTTCTATCTTCTTAGTGATTTGTCTCCTTTATTGCGGGTTTTTAAAATTTCTGCTCCCATCTCCAAATCATGCAATATTTCCTTGACTCAGCAGATGAGCAAAAACTCAAAATTCCAGCAGTCTGTCTATGTAGGAGGCCATTCCCCTGCCCTACTCTCCCTAGGTACAAAGTGCTTTCCTTCTGAGACCATTTCCTATCTCCCATCTCCTTGTATGTACCTTGTAATTTATGTACCTGCCCTATTAAAATGTGAGCTCCTCAAAGGAATTTAAACAATTTTAAATATTTTAAATTGTCTTCTCATTTCAGCGCTTCTCAAAATACCTGGCATATAGTAAGCACTTAAATGTTTGTTGTTTGATTGACTGTTGTGCATTCATTGAGCACCTGGCTACTCTTATTCAATCGATTGATTGAATCATGTTTATACTCTATATGGTACTATAATTATATGTGGATGTACCTTATTTCTACAAGACCAGGGAATCTTCATCTGAGATCCAGTGACTTGTTTTAAAAATATTTTAGTAACTATATTACAATTTAATTGGCTTCCTTTGTAATTCCATATATTTTATTTCATTAATTTCAAAACATTATTTTGAGAAAGGGCCCATAGCCTTCCAGGGGTCCAAGACACAGAAATGTTCAAGAATCCTTGGACTAAAGCATAAGCTTCTAAGGGCAGATATCACACTATTCTCATATCAACACACTTTTATGAGAGCCCTTGACCTAAGTCATCCAGTTGCCCCTTGACAGCTCAGAACTGAACAGAAACCATGAATACTCACTAATCAGATTTGGATAAGTTATATGAAACAGAAGGGGCAGCTAGGTGGCTCCACAATGCACAGAATGCAGGGCCTGGAGTCATGAGGACTCCTGAGTTCAAATTTGACCTCAGACACTTCCTAGCTGTGTGAGCCTGGGCAAGTCACTTACCCCATTTGCCTTAGTTTCCTTATCTGTAAAATAAGCTAGAGAAGGAAATGGCAAACTACTTCAGTGTCTCTGCCAAGAAAACCCCAAATGGGATCACGAAGAGTCAGACATGACTGAAAGATGACTGAACAACAAATATATGAAACAGAATCTGACTTTATAGTCCTTGCGTATAACTCTTGCCACTCAACCTCTCTGTAGGTAGCTGTATATGAGGAGGAATAGCAACAAGGTCACAGCCTGATTCCTGTGTACAGTCTTTCTTGTGTATGTCATGGCTTATCAAGGCATAGACAGGGCTCTGGAGTCCCTCTCCTTTCCCTGAAGTGTTGACTCTTTTGCTAATAAATTCCGCCCACTGCCGCTGAAATGACTCCTACCCTGAGCTCACTCCCTAGAAGCGCTATGCACTCACTCACCAGGGTGAGTGTTCTCTCACTGCATCTTACAACCACTGCATTTGCTAGCTCTTCTTCCATGGTCCCAGGCCAATCTTACCCCTTCTGA